TCCTGACTTAGTCTCCTGAATAGTTGAAATTACCAGATGTGGGCCATTGCACATGGCCAATCATTCCTTTTTTTTTTTTTTCTTTTTCCCCTCTCTGAACTTTATTATTTTCTTATTGATTCTTTTTGGTTATATATAACATTAGGATTCATTTTGACATAATTATATAATCATAGAATATAATTTGCTCTAATTCAGTCCCCAGTACTATACCTTCCCTTCCCAGCATCCCTCCCACGTTCTCTTTCCTATACTCTACTAATCTTTCTGCTATTTATAGTTTTTTTTTAACTAGTGCCTCATTTTTTAATGAAAAGATTATAATAATACGTAAAAATGGGCATTCAAATATTTTTTATATCATAAATATATCAAAGTTTCTTGAAAAGCAGTACAGTGTGTATGTTGAAAAACACACATGGACCTAAGAATAACTTCTTAGAACCCTTGCCTTTCATTGGTTCCTATCAGTGTGACCACTGTCATGGTACTTGAGCTTTCTTTCTTCAAAGAAAAATTAAATTAAGAACCCTTTCATAAGAATATTCAAAAATATAGAGATAATGTTTGTAAATAAGCCATGATTTATTAAGTGTTAAATAAATGTGAGCTTCAATTCTACTAATACCTGACACTGACTTTTAAGTATAATTTCTGACAACTTAAAATGTTTTCTTTTCTATGCCAAGTAGTAGACATGACTGTTTTTATATCATTCTCTGGCTTTCAGCACACCTGAAATATTTCCTAATTTTTGAAACAATAAAAAATTAACTTTTACTAAAAATCAGCCAGAATTTTTAATACTTCTCATTTGAAGGGTTATAAAGCTCTGTCCCAAAGCACAAATTTAAACATGAAAATCAGATTATCAGTCCATAAATGTCTTAAATTGAATGAGAAAATAAAGATTTTTATTTTTAAAAAGATTTGTGTGTTACCATAACATAAATTAGAATTTTAATATTTCTTACCTCCTATCTAGTCAGGTGGAAAGAATATCAATAGATTAGAAAAAAGATACCAATAAAGGTATTTCTATTAATAAAATACCTTGCATGAGGCCTAGGTTTGTCCCTGGTACTGCTAAAAAAACAAAAACCAAAAGAACAAAAACTTCATATCATTCCAGTCTGATTTTAGACATCCATATCAAAATTTCATGATCATACCACTTGCTTAGGTAAAGGATGGTACAGAACCAACTCCCTGGATGCTTCTGAGGAAGACCAAGGCAAGAAAATACAAGTTTCAAGGCCCTGGATCCCCAGCATCAAAAAAGAAAAAAATCCTTAAGAAAGCACTAGTCTAGCTGGGCCTGGTGGTGCACATCTGCAATCCCAGCAGCTCGGGAGGCTCACACAGAGGGATTACAAGTTCAAAACCAGCCTCAGCAAAAGTGAGGTGCTAAGCAACTCAGTGAGACCCTGTCTCTAAATACAATACAAAATAGGGCTGGAGATGTGGCTCAGTGGTTAAGTGCCCCTGAGTTCAATCCCGAGGGAGGGAGGGAGGGAGGGAAGGAAGGAAGGAAGGAAAGAAGGAAGGAAGGAAGGAGGGAAGGAAGGAAGGAAGGAAAGAAAGAAAGAAAGAAAGGAAGGAAGGAGAAAGAAAGAAGAAAGGAAGGAAGGAAGGAAGGAAGGAAGAAAGGAAGAAGGAAAGAAGGAAGGAAGGAAGGAAGGAAGGAAGGAAAGGAAGGAAGGAAAGAAAGAAAGGAAGAAAGAAAGAAAGAAAGGAAGAAAGAACGAATATTATTAAAGAAAAGTTAATCTGAACATTAACTGTGGTCAGGTCCAAGTTAGAAATGAGATAAACTCAAAAGTAAAAAAAAAAAAAAAAAAAAGGTACACTCAAAAACTGTTCCAGTTTTGTCCTTTATTGGGTTGTGGAAATAAAGACATGAAAATGACACAAGAGTAAGAAAGAGTTAAAAGTAAGACTACTTAAAAAAAAAAAAAAAAAGACTACCTCTAAAACCAGCATATTTTATTTACCTGATATATTCCACTAACATTTTTAACTCTTCTTTCCCCCAGATTTTTTTTCTATAAACAATTTCATGTCATTTGCCTGAGACAAATGAAGTACTGTAGTCGGAAGTATTTTGTGAGGCATTATGAACTATAACTTTCCCCTCAAAAAAGATATTTTTTTAAAAAAACCACAAATATAGGCTAACATCTGCTCAGGATCTTTTTTTTTTCTGAAAATGTTATTGGTGTTTCTATATTCACATGATTTAATTTTATAAGACAATTCTTCAAGAGCAAAGATTTTTCATAATAAAACTGTGATCTTTTTCCCCTAATAACATAGTATGGTAAACTGAATAGAATGCTTCTCCATCCTCAGATTCTTAATTTGTAGTTCATAATATTCATGATATTCGATAACCCATACTCTCCACACTCATCAGGATGACTTTTTACTTTCAGTAGGCCGAAGTGCAGGGTGTGATTTAATATTAACCTTACTCATGGTACCTAAAAAGAAAGCAAATGGTAGAGCAGCAGCTTGGGTGACAAGAACAAGGAGGATGGTTCACAACAATATATCCATTCTTTTCTCTATGAAAAATGTAGAACTATCAATTTCCAATTGATAGGCAATAGGTTATATAAGTGCAAATAAGTCATCCAGAAAAGGGAGGAGAGAGAGTTCCGGTAAGAAAATAGGAGTGACCGCTTTTGAGGAAGACTAAAGGCAAAAAAAAAAAAAAAAAAAAAAACAGAGGAGTTTAACAGAATCCATTCCCTTGTAAACAGTGCTGTGGAGTGGAAGAAGTATTTTATAGCAAGGTTCAACACACAGCTAATGAATTGTACACAGGTGTGGATCATCTGATGTCTTCCCATGTCCAAGTCAAAAACAGACACAATCAAACATAAAGTTAAAAAAACAAGTCACCCAGTTGAAGCAATTGAGGCTTGGAGGATAGGTAATTTGTTCAAAGCTATATAGCTAATCAGTGGCAGAGCCCTGACTGGGACATAGTTTGAAGGTGAGAAACTTCATCAAAGCTACTTGTCCCAGGAGGTGTCAAATGTTTATTTTTTTCAACTATTCTTTCCATTATGTCCTAATTTTTACTACATATTAAGTGCTACTTTATAACTGATACATAGGATAATCTTAAATATATACATTTTCAAATTAGACAGTACCACATTAATGCTTAGGTGGTAAAATTGTATTTTTTTTTAATTAATTTATTTTAGTTTTTCGGCGGACACAACATCTTTTGTTTGTATGTGGTGCTGAGGATCGAACCCGGGCCGCACGCATGCCAGGCGAGCACGCTACCGCTTGAGCCACATCCCCAGCCCGTAAAATTGTATTTTTGAAGTCTGATGTTTGCAGATATGCACACAGGTTTTTGACATTTACTATGTTCATTATGTATCATTAAGGTAACATTTAAAATTATTATATATTTTGTCTATACTTATTAACAAATTAGCATTTTCTAATTGATGTAACAAAAGCTTTGATGTAATCTGTTAGATTTTGCATTTTTTTTCATTACTGTTACATTTAACCTCAAGAATGACTGATTCACTGGGTTGGGTGGTGCATGCCTGTAATCCCAGTTACTCAGGAGGCTGAGGCAGGAAAATAAAATATTCAAAGCCAGCCTCAGCAACTCAGAGAGGCCCAAAGCAACTTAGTGAGACCCGGTCTCTAAATAAAACGTAAAAAGGGCTGGGGATGTAGTTCAGTGGTTAAGTACGCCTGTGTTCAATCCCCATTAGTCCCCCGCCCAAAAAAAAAAAAAAAAAAAAAAAGAATGACTGATTCCTTACATTATTATATTAATATTGTGAATAATCATGTAAAATGTTTTGAGACAGAGTACTATATTTATTAATATAAATTATGGCTTTTTTTTCCATTTAGTAGGAACCGTTCCATCAGTATAGAAAACTAAGAACATTGTTTTTCACTGTATAATCTGGCATTTGTTGTAAATTAAAGCTTATTTTTCTGTTTAAAAACAAAAATTTGTTCAATAAAGAAAAAGAAGAAGTCACCCAGTAAAAGTTGTTTTATATTTTTGTGGGGTAAGATTAGAAACTGGATCACAGTATGCAACTGGTGCTTCCACTCATCATCCCCCTACTGTAGCATCAAGATAAAAGCCAATGCTGGGCATCATGGCATATGCTTATTAATCCCAGTGGCTCAGGAGGCTGAGGCAGGAAGATCACAAAGCCAGCCTTATCAATTTAGTGAATCCCTATGCTTAGTGAGATAATGTTTCAAAATAAAAAATAAAAAGGGCTGGGACATGACTTAGCACCCCTGGATTCAACCCACAGTACTTTATTTGAAAAAAGGAAAAAAAAGATAAAAACCACCAAAGTTTTTCAAAGTGAAAGTTCCAACGATGTATGCCAAAGACCCTCAACTAAGACCCTTCTAGGCTTACAGGAGGTACAAATAAAAATTTTAGAGTGTGTGCAGGTTATTTACATGTCCTTTAAATAAAAAATCTGTTATCCTGGAGGGAAGTAGTTCAAAAGTATAAATAACTTTGCTTAGGGAAGAAAGAAATTCATTGATCAAAGCTTCCTGCACTTTAAGACAGCAATAATTAGTTCTACTGTAATGATTTGTTCTATTTAGTTTGTCTGTAGATTATGATCCTGTTAGCTTGAGCATAATGTGTTACAGATGATTTTCTCTACCCTTTTACAATTATTCTTAAATGGAATGTAATTATCTTCTCAAGGAGCTCATTCTCTCTAAGTAATCACCAAGATATCTAGGAAAAAGGAAGTGCTACTCTTTTGTACCACTAGAATAAAGCCACTTTAGTCGTACAATCCTACCTTAGTCTATCTTTAACTACAACCTAGGAGGATGGTCAGTAAATAAATAAAAACTTCATTGCTAAATTTACTGCAGATGGCAACCATACATCAATATAATTAATATCTATTGCTAAGTAATTGAATTCAATTTGTCTTCAGCACTTAAAAAAGCTCTGAAATTCTTACTTTAATTTCAACTTGCTCTTCCATTTCTTTAGTTTTTATTGTAGTGTATTCCTTTTCAAGCCTAAGAAGAAAATAAAAAAAGTTAAATGAAGGTATGTTTTCATTCAAAAGTAGTTATTAGATTATAAAATTTAAAAATACATATTAACATAAAATACAATTTTAATTTTCCTCAGTTTATAATTTGAGATCTTGATATGAGTAAAATCACCTGAAGAGTTACATGGAGTTTTACAAATGATCACTTTGGCCAGGCTCAGTGGCACACACCTGTAATCCCAGTGGCTCAGGAGTTCAAAGCAACTTAGTGAGGCCCTAAGCAACTTAGTGAGACCCTGTCTCAAAATGAAAGAATTTTTTAAAAGGGCTGGAGATGTGGCTAAATGGTTAAGCACCCTGGGATCAAACCCTACTACAAAAATAAACAAACCAACCAACCAATAATTACTTACAAATGACAAAAATAAGTGCCATACTACAGTAAAGTTTAGAAAGTGAAACACATAAAGTACCAAACACAAAACTAAGTTAACAAATTCAACTCATCCCTAAACCTATGAAAGAACCAACTATCAATTCCCTTCAAATTAAAACACACCTGCACTGTTCAAAAAATCCTAACACTAGCACTGACTTAAAAAATTATGGTAAGGTTAAAGGAGCAATTCTTCCTTATAGAAGAATTCCAATTAAAAATGTCTATAGAAGGAATGAGGCAAATACAAAATTTATCATTAGAATGTCACAATAATAACTGCCACAGGCAAAAAATACCAGTGGATCAGTTAGTGACCAAGGTTTACACAGTCTTAAATTATATTTCTCAAAATATTTAGTAATTACTAAGGGAATATAGTAAATACATGGTACAGAAGAAAAGACAGGCCCAACTCTACACCATGTCAGCTTAGGAACTGACTTCCTCAATAAGACTCCTAAAGTGTAAGAAGTAAAATCAAGAATCAATAAATGGTATCAAACTAAAAAATTTCTTCATCACAAAGGAAACAACCAACGTGAACAGAGTCTATAGAATGGGAGAAAATCTTTACCACCAGCACTTCAGGTAGAGCATTCATCTCCAAGATACACAAAGAACTCAAAAAAAAAAAACTTAATACACACACACCCACACACAAAAGAAAAATAACCCAATCAATAAGTGGGCTAAGGAACTGTGAAATACGATCAGTCAAAAAATGTATGAAAAATGTTCAAACATCTCTAGCAATTACAAAAATGCAAATCACAGCTACACTGAGATTCCATTTCACTCCAGTCTGAATGACAATTATCAAGAATACAAGTAAAGGCTGGGCATGGTGGCACACGCTGTTCATCTCAGAGGCTTGGGAGGCTGAGACAGGAGGATCATAAGTTCAAAGCCAGCCTCAGCAAAACTGAGGCACTAAGCAGGGCTGGGGATATGGCTCAGTGGTTGAATGTCCCTGAGTTTGATTCCTGGTATCAAAAAGAAAAAATAACAATAAATGTTGGCAAGGATGTGGGGGAAAAGGTTCACTTACACATTATTAGTGGGTCTGAAAATTGGTGCAACCACTCTGGAAAGCAGCATGGAGATTCCTTAGAAAACCTGGAATGGAACCACCATTTGACCCACTTATCCCACTACTTGATTTATACCCAAAGGACTTAAAATCAGTATAAGAGTTCAAAGCTTTTGCTAAGGTGCTAATCAACTCAGTGAGATCCTGTCTCTAAATAAAATACAAAAAAGAGCTGGGGATGTGGCTCAGTGGTTGAGTGCCCCTGAGTTCAATCCCCAGTATCCGACCCCCACAAAAAAAGAATGCCTACTATGACCTCAGGTTAAAAATCATTTAAGTACTAGAAGCAGGAAGAATAAAGCTATCATTCTTAATTAATACACTTACCCTATTTCTATTAAAAACAAAAAACCAAAATGAGCCAAGAATGTTTATCTTAAACTTTTATAATAGATACCCAAAAAAGCTTCATTAGAAAGTAACATACCCTGGGCTGGGGCTGTAGCTCAGTGGTAGAGCACTTGCCTCACATGTGTGGGGCACTGGGTTCAATCTTTAGTACCACACAAAAATAAATAAATATATTGTGCCCATGTACAACTAAAAAAAAAAAAAAGAAAGTAACAAACACACCACACACATAAAGAAGGTAACATACAACACATAAAATTTTAAATTCTCAATTCATCATCTATCTTTCTGGCTATGCTACTCATGGACTTAAGTGACATTTTGGAGTCAAACTGAGGGGAAAAGAATGTCAATAAATGGAACCACACCACTGAAGTGGTTTTAAAATAACAGCACATTAGGCTAAGGTGCAGTTCAGTGGTATAGCACATACTTAGCACATACAAGGCCATGGGTTCAATCCCCATCACCAAAATAATAATAGTAAATATTAATAATAACTGTACATTCACACATATACATGTACCAGGCTCATAACTCCAGTCAAAATACAAGGAATAACAGGAGTTTAAAGGTAGTACAAGAGGTCCTATAAACAACTATTAAAATTAGTGTGACATTCCAACATTAACTTTGATATTGAAACCACTGTTAATACCACCAATTAAAACCATGTAGTTCTATCATCTAAGGAGGAAAAATGTAATTATCACTAGAATGTTTTGTCATTTTCACTAAATATCCTATATGCTTCAACAAACTCCTATAACTAAAACAGAAAATATAAAATACTTACTTTTTCATTTTTTTTGAGTTGTATTTGACTTGGTAAGCTGCTTGGATTAGTTTATCTGCACTATCATCAAACTGATGTGGAATGACCTTCTGAAAGTGCTAAAATATAGTAAAATAAAAACATAAGAACCACTAAGTGCCATTTATTATTAATAGTTAAATCTAAAGATATACAAGAAATCATGAACTGACTTACCTGTAACATCCCTTCCATGTCAAGTTGCATTAATTCTGCCTGATTCATTTGAAGAAGTGCTAATCCTACTCGAAACACTATTTCTAAACCCTGATGAAATAAAATAAATAAAGCCAAATTTGTTTTAACTTTGTCATCAACAAAAACTAAATCAAAATAATACTAAAGTAAATATTCAGTGTTCTAAACCAGGGACTAGCAAACCTTTTCAGTTAAGAGTCAAACAGCAAATACTTGACACTTGGTGGGCCTCTGCCACAACTATTCAACTTTGCCACTGTAGCCCAAAAGCAGACATAGACAACACATAAATGAGCAGAGCTGCATTCCCAGAAAACTTTACTCTCAAAAATAGGTGTAAGGAGAGATTTACATGCAAACTACAACAGATCAGTGGCTGAACCGTAGTTTGATAGGAAATACAAATTGATCTTGCCAAGATGTAACTAATAACAATTAACTTTGGGTTCAGAAAACAGAAGACAAAGGATCATTACGTGTCACTCACACTTAAAAGACAATTTGCAATATGTTCACAGAATAGAAGAAAATTATACCAATTATTTCTAGCTGTTTGGATAATAGATACACTACAACAATATTACCTGTAAGGTAGATTTTATCTTTCACTAATTTTCAATAAATCAGTTAGGAAGTGATAAACAGGTTTGATTAAGAAAGTAGATTCCACAATTTAACTGTCTCTGTCTGAACCTAGTTAGTATACATGTATGTGTGGGTCTACAGACAAGCTACTTTTTTTTGGTATTGGGGGATACCCCTAATTTTATTTTGTTTTCTAATTTTTTTATTTTGAGACAAGGCCTCTCTAAGTTGCTTAGGGCCTCACTAAGTTGCTGAGACTGGCCTTCAACTTGTGATTCTCCTGCCTTAGCCTCCCAAGTCACTGGGATCATAGTTTTGTGCTACCACACCCAGCTTAGACAGACTAGCTATTTAACCTTTCTCTAACTCTGTTTTCTCATCTATCATCTAACAAATAGGGATAGTAACAGGATCCACCTGATTATGGTTTAAATTAGATTATCCACAGAAGCAGTTGAGCAAGGAACACATGAGCTCTTTTATTGCTCCCCTTTCTTCCCTGCTCTAATTAACCCAATGACTCCTTTGCTCAGCTCTTGCTGCTAGTCTGCCAATTAGCTTACCTCAGACATAAAGATATCAAATATCCGTGTTGCAATTGGTAATGGAAAAGTTGTAAGAAAGATAGTCAGAAACCAGGATGATGCATACATTGAGGTATGAAAACTCTGAGACTGAAAGTGTACAAAGAGCTCTGGAAGATGCTCCTAAAGAGAAGAAAACAAAGTAAAATTAAAACATAGTAAAATTGAGTGTTTTAAGTCAGATTATTGTATTTATACTAGATTATACTAGTTTAGTTTATATAAAAGATTAACCTATACCACACACAAAGATCAGGTCAAGCATAATGTGAAAAAGCTGAGATGTCTAGTAATTACAGAAATGCAAATCAAAACTACTCTAAAGTTTAATCTCACTCCAGTCAGAATGGCAGTTATCAAGAATACAGACAACAATAAGTGTTGGAGAGGATGTGGGGGAAAAGATACACTCATATATTGCTAGTGGGACTGCAAATTGGTGCAGCCAGTCTGGAAAGCAGTATGGAGATTCCTTGGAAAACTTGGAATGGAACCACCATTTGACCCAGCTATCCCACTCATTGAGTCTATATCCAAAGGACTCAGTGATGCAGCCACATCAATGTTTATAGCAGCACAATTCACAATAGCCAAACTGTGGAACCAACCTAGATGCCCTTCAAAAGATGAATGGATAAAGAAACTGTGGCATATATATATAATGGAATATTACTCAGCAATAAAAGAGAATAAAATTATGGCATTTGCAGGTAAATGGATGGAATTAGAAAATATCATGCTAAGCAAAGTAAGCCAATCCCCAAAACCCAAAGGCTAAATGTTTTCTCTGATAAGTGGATGCTAAACCATAATGGGGGGGAGAGGGGTTAGAATGAGTGGAGGAACTTTGGATTGGCCAAAGGGGAGGTAGGAGAGGGGAAGACTGTGGAATGAGATAGTCGTTATCCTAGGTACATGTATGATTGCACAAATGGTGTGACCCTATTTTGTGTACAACCAAAGACGTGAAAAATTGTGCTCCATTTGTGTAAAATTAATTGAAGAGCATTCTGCTGTCATATACAACTGATTAAAATAAATAAAGGAATGAAATTACGACATCTGCTGGTAAATGGATGGATCTGGAGACTATCATGTTAAGTTAAATAAGCCAATCCAAAAAGTCAAAGGTTGAATGTTTTCTCTGATATCCAAAATAGGGCAGTAAAGGGAAGGGAGAGAAAGGGTGGGGGGGAAGGAGAGATAATTTCATCAAAAGAAAGGAAAAAGGGCTGGGGATGTGGCTCAAGCGGTAACGCGCTCGCCTGGCATGCGTGGGGTGCTGGGTTTGATCCTCAGCACCATATAAAAATAAAATAAAAAGGTGTTGTGTCCACCGAAAACTGAAAAATAAATTTAAAAATCCCCCCCCTCCTCTCTCTTTAAAAAATAAAAATTAAAAAAATTTTAAAAAGAGAGGAAAAATTTGTAGAGTAGAAGAAGGTCATTGAGGGGAAAGAAGAAGGAACAGGAGAGGGGAAGAACAGTAGTCTGAATTTGGACAAATTTTCATATACACACACACACACATATATATATATATATATATATGAATATATCACAGTGAATCCCAACATCAAATATATCTATAATATATTAATTTAAAAAATATAATTGCAGAAAGACCAACAGAGTAGAGAGATGGGAATAGAGGGAAAGGGGGAAAATGCTGGGGACTGAATTACAACAATTTATATTCAATGTTTTTATGATCATGTCAAAATGTATCCTAACATTGTTTATCAATAAAAATGGGATGTGGTTTTGTTTTTGTTTTTTTTAAAGAAAAGCTGAGATGTAGAAATTGACACATTCAGAATGATAGATACTATCTGAGAAGGGATGAAGGGGGAAAGGATGCAGAGTTGAAACTTTGGGGATATCTATAACATTTGACTTATTAATAATAAAACTAAATTATAGCCAAATTAATTTAAACCAAATACCCATCCTATCTCAGATACTATTGAGTGTCCATGTGATGCAATGTTTGTATTCATTTAAGCTTGTTGGTGGGTACATAGTTGCTTTTTTGTCAACTCTATTTCAAAAAAACTGGAAGCCAGGCATAGTGATGCACACCTGTAATCCCATCTAATTGGGAGGTTGAGGCAGGAAGTTTATAAATTTGAGGTAAACCTGGGCAAACCACAAGACCCTATATCTCAAAATAACAAGTAAAAAGGGTTAGGGCTATAGCTCAGTGGTAGAATGCCTCTGCTATCCAGTTTCAAACTGTAATTTACCTATCAGTTAAAAGGACTGATTTTTTTCAATTGTTTTAATGCTTTTAACATTGAATTTGTAAAGATGTCACTCAGAGATGATAACAAACATAAAATTGTACTTTTACCTGTATCATGCACTCAAACTGGTACATACAAAGGCCCAATTCTGCCATACTTGGTTTAAAAAGTTCACGAAGTCTATAATCTTGCATTAATTTAACAAATACACAGAAAGCTTCTTCTTCTGGCATCTGCATTAGTAGAAGAAAGTAACACAGGTTAATATTCTATGATGCACAAATAAATCAAATTATATTTAAAACAAGTACCCATCCAATCATAAACACTGTTTTGAGAGGCTACATATTGCACTCAAGAGCAACAGATTAGTAAAAATCAGGATGTCCTGGGCTGAAGATGTGGCTCAAGCGGTAGCGTGCTCGCCTGGCATGCGCGAGGTGCTGGGTTCGATCCTCAACACCACATAAAAATAAAATAAAGATATTTAAAAAAGAAAGACACAGGATTTTTTTTTAAAAAATCAGGATGTCCTAAGTTCTCATTCTAAGAATGTAAAGTTAAAGAAGTCTTTTAACCTTTAAGACTAACTGCTTTAAATGGCCTAATTCATTAATTCAACCAAAAATATTCATTTAGAGTTGGATACTTTTCTTTTTCTGAGGATCTACCAATGAACAAAAAAAAACATAATCTCAACTGATTGTGTTGGTGAATGTCCATAATCCCAGCAACTTGGAAGGCTGAGGCAGCAGGATTGCAAGTTCGAAGCCAGCCACAGCAACTCAGCAAGGCCCTGCCTTAAAATAAAAAGGGCTGGGGATGTAGTTCAGTAGCTAAGTGCACCTGGGTTAAATCCCAAACACCAAACCAACAAACAAAAACACCACATAATATCTACTCTCAAGGAGCCTGAACTTTATAGTAGGGGGAAAAAAACAACACATGTAATAAATTAATTCATATATTTGTCAAATGGCAATGAATGAAATTGAAATATAGTAGGTAAGAGGGAATGTTGAGGAGACACATTAATATTTTTGTAGGACAGGGAAGGTCCCTTGATAAGGGAACATTTGAGAAAAATGCTGAAGAAAGTGAGGGGAGAATCTGAGGTAAAAATAGTCCCAGAAGACAGAAGAGAACAACAGCCCTGAGAGGGAGTCAGGTCAGCATACTCACAGAATTGCAAACAGGAAACTTCTAGTTTAGTAGTAACTAAGTTAGTAGTAACTATTTTAGTAGTAACTTCAAGATTAGTTACTACTTCAAGAAAGTAAAATCTATACAAGAAGTACTTGGGGGGCTTGGGTTTGGCTCAGTGGTAGAGCGCTTGCCTAGCATGTGTGAGGCACTAGGTTCAATTCTCAGCACCACATATAAATAAATGAAATAAAGACCCATTGACAACTAAAGAATATTAAAAAAAAAAGAAGTAGTAGTAGTACTTGGCAGATGCCAAATTAAAGAATGAGAAAATAATGTGATCAGATTAAACTTATATTGCTTTAAAAAAAAAAAACTGGGGCTGGGGTTGTGGCTCAGCAGTAGAGTGCTCACCTGGCACATGTGAGGCACCAGGTTCAATCCTCAGCACCACATAAAAATAAATAATTAAAATAAAGGTATTATGTCCAACTACAACTAAAAAATAAATATTAAAAAAAAAACTGAGATAGAAGGATTGCATGTTCAAGAGCAGCCTGGGCAACTTAGCATGACCTGTCTCAAAATAAAATAAAAAGGGCTCAGGATACAGCTCAGTAGTAGAGAGCCACTGGGTTCAATCACAGTACAGCAAAACAACAACAATGAAGAAGTCATTTTGAGTGCAGGTTAGATTATGGAGAAGAAATAACATCAAAGGTTTTAGAGACCATTGTATGATTTCTGAATTTGACCTTAAGTGAAATGGAAAGCCCTGAGAATTCTGAGAAGTTATATAACATAAATGTTTAAAGAACTTATGAAATTAGTTTTCAAATTATCTATAATTGGAGTTTAAAACTATCAATTAAACATTTTGATTGTAATTAACTAAGAAATCATATCAAAGAAGATGTGTGTGAAATCTTTAAGAAGTTACAAAGACATTCAAACTATTTAGGTAATAACATTATGCAAATTGTTAAGCCATCTTTCTCAAAATAATATAAAATTTGCTAATTCTCTCATTCATTCACATTATACCAGTGTGTTTCAAAGAGAACAACCTGAAGAATCTCTAGGCATTCAACTTATTGAAGATGTTGCAACTAACAATATACTTTTTCTGCCTTGACATAGCCATGGATAGAAATCAAATTGCCTTTGATAAAACCCACACATACTTTCTTCCTTCCTGCCAACACAGCCACGATTCTGCCCTGGAGACCATCCCTATTAATCTCATCAAGCTCTACAGCATCATTGATTGATGTCAGTCACTACAAGAAGCCCAAGATTCCAGAACTTTTAATCGTATATAATTCTATTGTTCCCCTAATCTGACCCCATTTCCAATCTTCTACCTATACCCTCAATCTCTTTTGCAAATATTCTTCCCTTCCTTTAGCTAAAAATCTGGCTCTCCCCCAGGGTGGTTATTTTCTCTGCCACAGTATCAGAAGGAGCAAGGGGTTAGGTAAGACATATGTTCCTCCTTTCACCTCACAGCCATTTCCACAACATTAACCTTCTCTGTTCTCTGAAACACATGCTAACAGATTTGACCCATTAAGGCTCCCACCCCACCCCACCCGAGCATCTACAAAGTTCTGGGCCACCCTCCCCACAACTCCCTTGTCATTTTTTTTTTAAATTTTTTAATTTTTTATTGTGGGTTGTTCAAAACATTACAAATTTCTTGACATATCATATTCCACACTTTGATTCAAGTGGGTTATGAACTCCCACCTTCACCCCATACACAGATTGCAGAATCACATCAGTTACACATCCATTGATTTACATATTGCCATACTAGTGTCTGTGGTGCTCCGCTGCCTTTCCCATCCTCCCCCCTCCCCCCTCCCCACCGCTCCCCTCCCCTCCCCTCCTCTCTCTCTACCCCCTCCACTGTATAACCCTGAGGATCTCCTTCCATTACCATGCAATTTCCCTTCTCTCTCCCTTTCCCTCCCACCTCTCATCCCTGTTAAATGTTAATCTTCTTCTCCTGCTCTTCGTCCCTACTCTGATCTTAGTTACTCTCCTTATATCAAAGAAGACATTTGGCATTTGTTTTTTAGGGATTGGCTAGCTTCACTTAGCATAATCTGCTCTAATGCCATCCATTTCCCTGTAAATTCTATGATTTTGTCATTTTTTAATGCAGAATAATACTCCATTGTGTATAAATGCCACATTTTTTTTAATCCATTCGTCTATTGAAGGGCATCTAGGTTGGTTCCACAGTCTTGCTATTGTGAACTGTGCTGCTATGAACATCGATGTAGCAGTGTCCCTGTAGCATGCTCTTTTTAGGTCTTTAGGGAATAGACCAAGAAGGGGAATAGCTGGGTCAAATGGTGGCTCCATTCCCAGCTTTCCAAGAAATCTCCATACTGCTTTCCAAATTGGCTGCACCAATCTGCAGTCCCACCAGCAATGTACAAGTGTACCCTTTTCCCCACATCCTCGCCAGCACTTGTTGTTGTTTGACTTCATAATAGCTGCCAATCTTACTGGAGTGAGATGGTATCTTAGGGTGGTTTTGATTTGCATTTCTCTGACAGCTAGAGATGTTGAGCATTTTTTCATGTACTTGTTGATTGACTGTATGTCCTCCTCTGAGAAGTGTCTGTTCAGGTCCTTGGCCCATTTGTTGATTGGGTTGTTTGTTCTCTTATTGTCTAATTTTTTGAGTTCTTTGTATACTCTGGATATTAGGGCTCTATCTGAAGTGTGAGGAGTAAAGATTTGTTCCCAGGGTGTAGGCTCCCTATTTACCTCTCTTATTGTTTCTTTTGCTGAGAAAAAACTTTTTAGTTTGAGTAAGTCCCATTTGTTGATTCTAGTTATTAACTTTTGTGCTATGGGTGTCCTATTGAGGAATTTGGAGCCCGACCCCACCGAATGCAGATCGTAGCCAACTTTTTCTTCTATCAGACGGCGTTGGGAATCAACCTAACAAAAGAGGTGAAAGACTTATACAATGAAAACTACAGAACCCTAAAGAGAGAAATAGAAGAAGATCTTAGAAGATGGAAAAATATACCCTGTTCATGGATAGGCAGAACTAACATCATCAAAATGGCGATATTACCAAAAGTTCTCTATAGGTTTAATGCAATGCCAATCAAAATCCCAACGGCATTTCTTGTAGAAATAGAGAAAGCAATCATGAAATTCATATGGAAAAATAAAAGACCCAGAATAGCAAAAACAATGCTAAGCAGGAAGTGTGAATCAGGCGGTATAGCGATACCAGACTTCAAACTATACTACAGAGCAATAGTAACAAAAACAGCATGGTACTGGTACCAAAACAGGCGGGTGGACCAATGGTACAGAATAGAGGACACAGAAACCAATCCACAAAACTACAACTATCTTATATTTGATAAAGGGGCTAAAAGCATGCAATGGAGGAAGGATAGCATCTTCAACAAATGGTGCTGGGAAAACTGGAAATCCATATGCAACAAAATGAAACTGAATCCCTTTCTCTCGCCATGCACAAAAGTTAATTCAAAATGGATCAAGGAGCTTGATATCCCTTGTCATTTTCATGAAGATCACTTCCCTGGCCTAGTGGATCTTTGACTTCCTTTCCTCCAATAAGCCTGGCAGGCAGTTACTAGCTCAAGCTCTAAAGTCATGGCAAAGGTTGAAATCTCAGTTTCTTCATTTAATAGAAATCTTATTTTCTCCACTTTAATAGCTATGTGATCTTGAACAAATTATTTGATCTCTCTGTTGCTCTGTTTCACCACCTATCAAATGGGTAAAATAATAGCACTTATTTCACAGGGTTGCAATGAAGACTAATATAAAGTACTTGGGGCTGGGGTTGTGGCTCAGCGGTAGAGTGCTCGCCTAGCATGTGCAAGGTCCTGAGTTTGATCCTCAGCATTACATAAAAATAAATAAATAAAGTTATTAAAACAAGTGTGTGTGTGTGTGTGTGTGTGTGTGTGTGAGAGAGAGAGAGAGAGAGAGAGAGAGAGCTAGAGAGCTTAACAATTTATTGACCTTGTCAGGCTATACTTCCTTCTTCCTATTCCAACTCTGCTGTGCTCACTTTGCTAATATTTTATTATATTTATTCACTTGCTTAAATCCATAATTACTTTTTTTCATCTCTGTTATAATTCCAACTGGAAAAACTTCCTTCTTATATAAATTCAACTCCATACCTGTATCTAAATAGCACAAAGTGGCTGGGAAAAAATAAAAACAAAAATTTATCCAGGCATGGTGGTGCACGCCTGTAATCCCAGTAGCTCCAGAGGCTGAGACAGGAGGACCGTGAATCCAAAGCCAGCCTCAGCAACTTAGTGAGCTCTAAGCAACTCAGTGAGATCATATCTCAAAATAAAATACAAAAAAGGTCTGGGGACGTGGTTCAGTGGTTAAGTGCCCCCAAGTTCAATCCCCAGTACCCCCCCCCCCAAAAAAAAAAAAGAAAGTAAGTAAGTAATCAGAAGACAATGCTGGAGTTGTAGCTCTCAGTGGTAGAGCACTTGGCTAGCATGTGTAAGGTACTAGGTTTGAGCCTCAGCATCACATAAAAATAAATAAATAAATAAATAAAGGTACTATGTCTACAACTAAAAAGTATATTTAAAAAAGAAAAAAGAAAAGAACTTTCCCTTCTATCACCCCACTTGCATCTGTAACCATTTTTACAGCCTCTGGTCCCTTGTATCTATTATCCTGGACCTTTCCCCAAATCCTGTCCTGTAGTTCCAATTGCTCATTTAACATCTCATTTGGAGTCCAACATATATTTCAAACTGCTCATCTAATTTCCTACCCTGCCATTCCTGGATACAACAAATTTCTGCTCAAAACCCTTAGGGGTCATCACTGCCTTTTTCCTTCCTGACTCTACAACCAGTCTATCAGCAAATTTTACTGGTTCTATATTCAATTTCCAGAATCAATCTATTCTTACCAGCAACACCTAGCCCAAACCACCACAAAGAGAGTAGTCTACCATCTGAACTGTTACAAATACTTTCTAAATGGTCACTTTGCTGTCTTCCTTGTACTTCCTTTCCAGTGGTCCATTCTTTATACAAAACAATGCCAGTGACACTTTCAAGGCATGATTAGAACATTACATTCTACTGCTCAAAAACTCTGATAGTTCCCCATATCCTCAATAAAAGCCAAAATCCTTACAAGATTCTACATGATATGATCTCTAATCTCTATTTCTCATTTCCTATCATACCTTCCTCTTTCCACCTTTGTGGTGAGCCAGCCATGGGCTATGCGTGTGTGTACTATGAGCACTGAACACATAAGTGGACTGGACTGACATTGCCTCTCTCTCTGTTTGGGCTGGCGACATATGTGTCCTTTTCACTTGTTCTTCCTATGATCCCCACAAAGCACATGAGATGGGCATGACCTTCCAAGATGTCAGTCAATCTGCTGACAGAAAGACATCATGAAGCTAGACTCATCATGAAACCTGACTCCTTGCCTCATTTGAATGGCTTCTCCCCAATGAAACCCAGGTTCGAGGCATGTTCCCTCTCTTTCTTGCTTGCCTTGCCCCCCTCCCCCTCTCCCCCCACCCTCACTTGTGGGAGATGTGGCTAAGGAGTGGTCACTGAACCCAAAAAGGTACTTTCTATATCTGTGTCTTTATTTAGTCAGCCCAAATTCACTTGGAGTGACCCTGACCAGTTTAGTCATGTGTTGTGATACACCTTCTCCTCACCCCTTGGTCCAATCATAGTAGGAATGAATCAATTAATCTCCCTTTTATCTCTTACAAGAAGAGTCTCTTCCCTTCTGATGTTCCAAAAACCTTCATTCCCTCTCCCCTTTGAAAGAGCACTGATATGAGAACTGGGAGAGAGTTTTTTGATTTTTTTAAATGGTGATATTTTAAACATAAGGTAGGATGATTTGACAAAAGAGCAAAAGGAGGTAGAAAAAAGTATCACTGGGTCCTGTGACAAAATGAAAAAATATGAGACTCCGTGACATTTATAAATATGAAGAATCACCACCCAGCTGTTTTTTAGTCATTCCTTTCCATTAGAAAGAAATCATGACAACAGAGTCCTAGAGCAATGTGGTGCTGCATACTTTCTCTATGATTGAGCTGATAAGATAACATGTCTTTTGCAAAGGTCTAACGCGTATAATATACCTAATTTTACAAGAGTGTTAAGATAAACACAAAAAATATATCTAGCACTTTAAACCACTTTTACACCTGTACTAACTTTATAAATTTTATCAGACTCTCTTGAGTTACACTGCTATACTGAAGTTGTGGGAAACACTACATACTAGAAATATAAAAGCATAAACTTTAGAATCAAAGAGGGGGGGTTTTCAATCTGGATCCACCACACTTTTTACCTCGTGGCCCTGGGCTATTAAGAGATTATTGTTGTGGTGGCACACTGCCTGCCACTGACAAAAACAGCTAAAACGCCACTGATGACTTCAATTGTGGTGCTGATTCTCATATCACTATCACCATTGTCTTCAGCACCTTGAAGGAAAGTGTGGTTAGCTCCTTAGGGCTCCTAAAGAGCTAGGCAGCTCTTTTGACACTCAGACCTCAAGTAGGGGAAAATTGCTCTGTAGACACTCAATAGAGATGACTACTAAAGGATTAGAAATGGGGCAGGATGATCATAACCTTGAAAAGAAATGGCATAATAGTGTTATTTCTTTAGCTTTATTGATACATATTTATTTCATTTATTTATTTTTAAGACGTCTCCCTTATTCTTTAGTCTCAGAAGTTTACTCCTGGAAAGGAACCTTGGAGATAACTTGATTTGAATTGTGTAAACTAGGCTTTGCATCTCAGTTCTTCAGTAGATCTACGAACTTGGGCTATATTATTTAACCTCAGAATCTTAATTAAATAATATTACTTATGTTCAGATAATAAAGGATTACTCTGGAGCTGATATAAAAGCAAAAGGATAAGGATGGTTGAGTTCAATGGTGAAAGATCTACCAATATTGACCAGTTACAAATGAAGACAGTCACAACTTTGTGAAACATCTACACCCTCAACATTAACATACCTAGTTTTGTATTATATTAATTATAACTAAGTTTCACCTAGAAATGGACAAATATTCTGTAATAATCACTAGAATCAGTTTTTATGTTATAATACAAAATACAAATAAGTCAATTTGATTGTCAACTTAGTATCTCAGACACCAGGTTTATGCTACTCAGAAAAGACATATGGAGAGCTGGAAGTAGCATGATGTAGTAGAACATATGCTTAGTATGCACAAGACCCTGTGTTCAATACACAGCCTGAGAGAGAATGAGGTAGGGTCTGTGTGTGTGTGTGTGTGTGTGTGTACATTTCTGACACAAAGCTTTAAAAATCAGGTAAATTAAAGAGTTAGAAAATTAAAGTATCAGGAAAAAAGAACTTCTTACTCCTGCTCTGCTTCTATCTATTAAGATGTGTGATCTGGGGCAAGTCATTGAACCTTTACTGCATGTCTTCTAAATGCCAAACACCAAGCAGGACTTCTATATATAATATTTCATATGACCCTCATGAAGAATCTGAACATAGATAATATTATTTAATTAAGATTCAGATATTAAATAATCTATCCCAAGTTCATAGATCTACTGTAGAACTGAGATGCAAAATGCAGCCTACATGATTCAAATCAAGTTATCTCCAAAGTTCCTTCCCAGGAGTAAAGAGTAAAGATGGATATCTTAAAAATAAATAAATGAAATAAATATATACCAAAAAAGCTAAAGAGATAACACTATTATGCCATTTCTTCTCAAGGTTACGATCGTCCTGCCCCTAAATTCTGAAAATATCCCATCCAAACCCATCCCCAAATAAGTCACTGTCAATGCTATATCCCTGGAACAGTAAAAGTAGCTGAGTAACACTATTTTAGAGCTTTTGGCAAGATATGCATAATAAGACTGCGGGTCCATGATATATAAAATTGCTATATAAATTTTCAAAGATGTCAAACAACATAGATAAGAGCTTCATGTCATCATTTTATTCATATCCTTACTCCCCATTAAATGTTGACAAGACTTAAAAGTAGATACAGGTTTTGGTAGAACATTATGGTATAACTATATGCATCAAGAAGTTCAGGGGTGGGGCAAATGGGTCAAAGGGTACAGAGTAGGCAATCCCTAGCACCACAAAAAAGAAAAAGTTGTTAAAATATCATTTGAGGGGCTGGGGTTATAGCTCAGTGGTAGAGCGCTTGCCTTGCACTTGTGAGGTACTGGGTTTGATCCTCAGCACCACATAAAAAATAAATAAAATAAATAAAGATTTTTTTAAAACACCCTTAAAATATATCATTTGATGAAAGACACTATTATATATCATTTCAACAATTTTCATCTTTCAAAGTACTAACTAAAATATTATTATTCAAATTAGACTTTAGGGAAAAAAACTGAATATTCACTTATACTTAATAAAAATAATGCTTTTTAAACCCTCCAATCCAACCTTAATAAAGAACTTAATTAGACATTTAATACTTGTATTAACTTACCTGCATAAGCAATAATCCAACTATAAAAGCACTTCCTTGACAGTAACCAACCTCACGATCCACTAAAGAATATGCCTAAAAAGTAAAATATGGTGTTCAAAATATTTTGACATGGTATATTAGACCTTCCTTCTCCCAAAACCTGAAATTGGCGAAAGAGTTGATTAAAAGTCAATTTTTTTTAAAGAAAAAAATCTTGTTTACTTGTTGTAGATGTTATCCTATAAATATTTTAAGAGCAAATGTTTTATTACATAAAATTTTCATTTGACAATTTCCAATTAGAAAGCAATAGCTGCTAAGGATGAAGGAAAAAAAGGAATGTGTACTCAGTAAGGTAACAGAGCTTTAAAATCAACTAAAAGTTGTATCTGATTAAGATAAAATTAGAGTAGGGTTATGATAAAGCTTAAGCAAAATTAAAATGATCTAACAAGAAATCCAGTGTTTCGTAAAGATAGCTGGAATAAAAAGAATCTAAGGGAAGGGAAAAGGCAATGTTGAAGAAAAAAATTAGGTAAAATCTTTATTAAGAACCCTTAACAATTCAAGCCACTGCAAACAGAAAAATTTGCTGACATGAATGCAGCCATGTTGGGAGAAACCTGAATCCTAGACTATGAACCTCACATAAAGTGAACTGTCCATTTTCATAAAGGATCTCTCTATGAGTAGGTTGGAGTAGAGTAATTATTAATATGTTACTTTATTTCCTGTCAAGTAATGTGAATGAATTTTCAACTAATGTGATGAATTTTCTAATAAGTTGTCTAAGTTAAACAGAAATGTAGCAGCAACGTTACAGTAGAAATTATGCTAAAATCAGTTTTGTTGCCAAAGCAACTGATTATGTGGAATTTCATGCTTTATCATGGGAAATGTATAATTTCAACTTTTTGAGAATTCATTTCATTTAAAAAATGAACAAACAGAACTTACCTTCATCACATTGAATAGAACCTCCTGTCCAAGGCTATCTTTTTCCTTAAAAAAATTATGTTCAGGATAAGTTCTAGCAATGTCCCTCCGGATCAGTTTTTCACAAGGTGAGGTCATTTTCAGGAGTTCTGAATACTGATCCTTAATTGGCATACTTTGTGCACTGCATAAAAGTTGCCAAACTATTGCTCTAAAATGGTGGGGTATTCCTTTACGAACAAGTTCCTAAAAAAGAAAAGTAAAATTTTAAATCTGAATTATTTAATAAGTCTCACATTTGCAAGACAAAGAAGACTTATTTGGTGGGTGAGGGATGGTTGAAGTAGAGTGGAAATTTTTATCAATTCACGAAGCTGGTTTTAAAATAAACTGGGAAACTTTTTAACCAAGGATAAGATTTTGCTCTTGGGTATATCCTTTTCTGGTTATGGGGAGAGGATGTGCTACAAAGCCATGCATAAATTCTGGCCATTTCACCAACAATTCTGCCTCTAAAATTATTTAGGACTTGACAGCCTGCAGAGCTATGAATGATGGCATCATACCCATCACATTTAGAACTGCTATTGAAAGCAGAAAAGAAAAATACTGATAATTCAAGAATGCATGATGTCACAACTTCATTTCTGCATCTATAAAATGAGAGAATTTGGCTGGACATGGGCACACACCTGTAATCCCAGCTACTTGAGAAACTGACGCAGGATTATCACAACTTTGAGGCCAACCAGGGCAACTTAAGGAGATCTTGTCTCAAAATAAAATAAAAGGGGCCAGAGGTTTAGATTAGTGATAGATTGCTTATGCATGAAGTCCTGGGTTCAATTCCAAGTACAAAAATTATAATAAAATTAGAGAATTTAACTTCTAAAAAATTTTCAGCTATATATTTCTATTTTCAGCACCTCTATAACAACTGATACCTACATGTAAAAATTCCATGAAGAATTGGAATATTTGGGGGAACAAAATTACTCCTTTGAGCTAAGAAAATATGAAAATGGTATTTAAATATTAAAGTAATGATACATAGTTTACACTATGATTTCCAATTATCTTATTTTAGTGTTGAAATCATTTAAAATAAGAGCCTGGCTAGGGTCCTAGTATTGCCACCCACTGTCTAGTGATACTTAGTCAAACTTGCTAAGCCCCAGTCTCTCTACTGTAAAATGGGATTATTAATGGGATTTTAAAGGCTACTTTTCTTGCAGTGTTTTAAGAGAACTGAATAACATAGTATCTATAAATTATATGACAATGTACATGACATAATAAAATTTTCAGTGAATACTTTTAAAAAATTCCATGAAACACAAATAAATGAAAACATAAAAAGCAGATTTCTTCACTATACAGAGCTTGGAAATCACTAAAATCTGATTTTTTTTCTAATTCTCTAATAATCCATACCTGATACCCCTTTGGGGTGAGAGAAAAAAACTTCAATAAAAAACATGAATACCTTAACTTGTTTTTCCTTCTTTTTGCGCACATCTTCCCATTCATTAACAATTCTTCCCCAAAGAATCCAAGAATCTTCTTCAAGGTGGCTGAGATTACTGGAGGCTGATGAACTTGATACAAGAGAGGAGCCACTATTTCTTCTTGACCCATTTACAGATCTTAAAGACTTACTATCCGTCTCTAATAATCTAAAACATAATTAAAAATTGGTGAATATCTCATCTCACAGTGATATTAGGTGAAGGAGTGATGATACTTAGAGTTTGACTACCATGATTTAACCATTGTTTTAAGATAATTTTAATAATGTACATGATTTCAATAATTTTTGGTTGATATCAATAAAATAATCACTATCTTTTTCTTACCTAGGTACAGGAGTTTCAAAATTTGAAACAGCAAATAATGTTAAATATTTTGTGCAATTAGTCTCATTGTAATTTACTTTCATTTCCATTAAAAATTCAAATTAGAGAACCAGGCACAGTGGCAGGTGCCTATAGTCCCAGCTACATAGGATGCTGAAGAAAAAGGATAATTTGAGCCCAGGAATTTGAGAGCATCTGAACAAAGTAGTGAGAGATAATCTTTTTTAAAAAATCAAATTAGGGTAAATCTAATGTAAAAAGTGGTTGGGTAGGCTTCAAGGAAAAAAATAATGCTTGGGAGAAGTACAAGAAATTTTATGGAATTACTAATCCTTTCATGTTTTACAATATGACCAAGGTTTTAAGAAAAGTAATCAGAGCCACAGAAATTAGCCAAGTCTCTTTTTTCATTTGTTTCACATATTCATACCTAATCTGCCTAAAAAAAAAAAAGTATATACATACAGCCTATTTTTAACTATATTTCTTGAAAAAGAAATAGAAATCAGAATCAGGTCCATATTCCCGCACAGTAAAAACAGGATACACTAAGTAGGAGCTTCTTCCTTTAAGGATGAAGAGGGATTTCACCCAATCTCCACAATCCTTACTGTCTTCCCAAACTCTAGTCAATAGTTGCTATTCATCACTAGGCTTCCACAATGAAACTGGAATCTCGTTGCTCTTAATACCCCAGCAGTCTTTTGAGTATCTAACCTTGTTTTAGCTCTCTTCTCTAAAGAAAGATGCATTAAGGTAATTTCAAAGATACAGTCCATAACTCATCACTCATAACTCATAACTCATCTTTTCTTTACATATGCACAGGATACAAAAAGGAAGGCTGGAAATGTGGCTTTATAACTATAAAGATGTAGATTATAAATAATTCAAATAATAAGGGTCCTAAAATATCTATTTGTTTTTTAACATGGCTACCTACCACTCAATTCCAGTACCTCCTTCAGAAAGGCATATGCTTAAGGTACAAAAAAATGCTTGCAATACTAATTTATGAAATAGAAAAACTGAGAGAGCGAAAACACGAGTCAAATCCTATTTTGCAGTTATAGAACCACCCTTGGAGGATCTACACGCTTATATTCCTTAAATTATTTAGCTCAGTACAAAAGATATTAAGTAGTGGACTGAGGCTATGGCTCAGTGATGGAGCACTTGCCTAGCCTGCATTAGGCCCTGTGTTGGATCCCCAACACCTCAAAAAAGAAAAAGAAAAAAAGTACATTAACTCTTTATTAAACTGAAAATTATAATCCCAGTTTAAAAAGTTTGAAAAACTTCCAAGTTTTAGATGTCATATTAAAAAATACCACAATAGGGGCTGGGATTGTGGCTCAGCAGTAGAGCGCTCGCCTAGCACAGGCGGGATCTGGGTTCGATCCTTAGCACCACATAAAAATAAAGGCACTGTGTTGTATCCATCTACACCTAAAAAATAAATATTAAAAAAATATACAAATATAAAATAAATTCTCTCCTTATTTAGGAGAATTTTAATATATTTTCATGGCAATGATAATTTAAATAAAATTTCCTAACTACTGCTAGAAACATAAAAATGTATTACAGCCAAATTAAGCATCAATTACTATATTTTTATTTGCTTTAAACACTGTTTTCCATATATATTATTTCAGAAATTCCATAATTTTTCTTACGGAAAAATTAGTATGACTAAGTAATTTTCTTTATGTTTCTAAAGATTTCTAAATGAAGTAGAGAAAAAAAAAATCACTGAAATATCTGGACCTAAGTTCTTCATTTCACTTGGCTATATGTTTGGTATACGCCAAATAGTTAAACCGCATTACCATCATCATTTGGGACACACACAGTTCAAAGGAAATTATGATACTAACTTAAACCTAAGTTTGAGGTATAATAGATGTACAGATTTTAAAAATGCCTAATTGGAAGACTTTTGGAGTACATAAAGGGTTTCAGAGATTGCTGAGCTGTAACTATCTGGATAAACAGAAATGCCAAGTGAACTCATAGGTGGGTTACAGAAGTTAGCTAAGCAATTTACCTTCAAAGAACACTGAAATAACATATCCCATGATACTTACAAATGAAATATTATTCCAAATAAAGACATTACATTATTTAAGGATGTTACCCTTGCCTTATCTCACATCACATATACAAATACTATTCAAAATGGATGATAAGCCTAAATACAAAAACTAAAACTAAAAGCCCTCTAAAAGAAAATATACAGAAAACCTCTTCACAACCTTGAGATTGGAAGAAATTTGTTAATGAGACACAAGGAGATACTAATCATTAAAAAAAAAGTTGATTAAATAATTAGACTTCACAAAAATCTGCACTTCAAATGATTCCATTAACAAAATAAAAAACCAGGGCTGAAGTTGTAGCCCAGTGGTTAGAGCACCTGGCTAGCACACGTGAGGCCCTAGTTCTATCCTCAGCAACACATAAAAATAAATAGATAAAATAAAGGTACAATTAAAAAAAACAAAGAAAATGAAACAACAAGCCATAGACCAAGAAAAAATATTCTCAGTATATTTATCTGACAAAACTTATTTATATCGTATATTCTAAATATTCTTAAGAAGGGCTCTTAAAATTTATAAAAAGGTAAACACCACACTTTCAATAATTGGTGAGGGATTTTACCAACACTTTCTAAAACAAGATAATCAAATGACTAATAAGCCCCGAAGTTAACTATTTAGTCTTTAGAGAAATCCAAGTTAAAACCACACACTGGTATGGCTCTAATTCTAAAAAAAGACATCATACCAAACAAATGTTGGCAGGATGGGAGCTAATATAACTCTCATAAATCAGTATAAAAAATATAAAATCATATAATCACTTTGAAAAACTGTTTGTCAATTCCTTATAAAGTTAAAATTTGCTTCCATATGGCCCAGTAAGTGTGAATACACACACACACACACAAATTATATATATAAAAACAAAAAAAACTTGCAGTTCCAAGTTCAGATATTTTATTCATAATAGCCAAAAGACAGAAACAACACAAATGTCCAGAAAAATAAACTGTCAATTTATGATATATCCATTCATTGCCAATACTTCTCCATAAGACAAAGAAACAAACTGGAGATAAATGTATCAACATGAATGAATCTTATAGACATTAGCCTGAATGAAAGAAGAATGGTGCAAAAAAGTACGCATGATATGAGTTTATTTATATAAAGTTCAAAAACATAGTATAGAAGAAAATACAGGTGTACATCCTCATAACTTTGAAATAGGAAAAGCCTTCTTAGACATGACTCTAAAAGCATAAGTGTCAAGATTAAAAAAAAAAAAAAAGAAGTGGAATTTGACAAAATAAAAACATTTTGTAATTTACTAGCTAATCTCAAGAAAGTGAAAAGACCACCCACTAAAGGGGATAAAATATTTGCAAACTATAAAGAACTTGTATTTAGATATAGGAAGAACTCTTAACAAATCATTAAAAAATACTCAATTAAAAAAATGAACAAAAGATTTGAAAATATATTTCTCCTAAGAAGATACACAAAAATGGGGCTAGGGCTGGGGCTCAGTGGTAGCGCACTTGCCTAACATGTGTGAGGCATTGGGTTCGTTTCTCAGTACAACATATAAATAAAAAATAAATGAATAAAGTTCTATCAACCACTAAAGAAATAAAATAAAAATTTTAAAAAAGAAGAAGATACACAAATGGCCAATGAGCACATGAAAGATGTTCAGTAACACTACTCATCAGGGAAATGCAAATCAAAAATCAGAAAAGAAGTTCTACAAGACTGAGGTTGCTAGAAAGAAATTCTCTGGGATGATGGGAATTTTCTAAGATTACAGAAATTTTCTAAGTTTTAATAGGCATTATGGTTATACACATGTATATACATTTGAAATTCAATTCTTTTTTTTTTTTTAACTGAGGATTTAACCCAGGGGCACTTAACCACTGAGCCATATCCCCAGCTCATTTTATATTTTATTTAGAGACAGGGTCTAAGTTGCTTAGGATTAAGTTGCTAAGGCTGGCTTTGAACTTGCAATCCTCCTACTCCTGCCTCACCCTCTAGAGCCTCTGGGATTTCAGGCATGTGCCACCATGCCCAGAGCTCAAACTATACACTGAAAAACTAAGCCTTTCTGTTTCACTCTTCTCATTTAGAGACTGGACTCTGAATTAACACATTATTCATTCATCTGTGTTACTCTGTAAAAATAACTATAGTTTGTATTTCTTACTTATTAAAAAATACAGGGGCTGGGGTTGTGGCTCAGCGGTAGAGCGCTCACCTAGCACATGTGAGGCCCTGGGTTCAATCCTCAGCACCACATAAAAATAAATAATAAAATAAAGATATTGTGTCCAACCAAAAATAAATAAATATTTTTTAAAAATACAAGCCAATTTGAAAAATCTACGCTTTTAAAATTGTGATTACCTTCTGATCAGAAGTTTGAGTGTTATACAAATTAATACTGTGGTAATTTTTCTTAAATATGATATGTAACATACTAACCCAAAAACAGATGTGGTAGCTTTGGTTTTTAATATGGTGGTTTTGTTTTTTAAAGCAGATTACTTAAAAAGCAAATATAATTCAACTGAATTTGACAAAGCAGATGAGTTTTCAGGGTAGGGGTTTTAGTTTGGATTTTTTTTCATTTGTTTTAATTAGTGATAATAGAATGCATTTTGATACATCATACATAAATGGAATATAACTTCTCATTCTTCTGGTTGTACATGATGTAGAATCATACCGGTCATGTAATCACATAAGTACATAGGGTAATAATGTCTG